TCCACCTACTTGGTGAAAATTTGTGTAGCTAGTTTAAGTTGCAATAGGCTATAATTAATTTGTATTTATTTTTTTTTTACAAAGATTATTAATGTAATGACAGTAAACTCATTGTTTAAATAAAGTCTCGCATTTAATGCCCATTTGCGATTTAAAAAAAAAAAATAAAAAAATAAAATATTATTATCCATATACTGTATATATTTAATAAATATTTTTCAATTTTAAAATAAATTTGATATCAATAAAAATTGAACATTATAATTACAATTTATGATTATTACAGTATTTGTTGTCATCTTTATTTAAGAAAACATATGCATTATATCAAGTTTTATGGTTTTTGTTAATGGATAATTAGAAAATTAAATATAACTTTAAATATTTTAAATTAAAGTATTTTATTTAAAACATAAAATACTGTATATACTGTAGTACAGATAATTAAGAATATCATTAATAACAAATTACAGTTTTAAAAAGTTATTATGCCTATTTTTTATAGAATAATAAATTTAAGGTATGCGCAATACTTTTGTTCAGATGATATTCATTTATTTTCATTTTGTATAATTCGTTTCTTTTTTAATTTTTTTTTATTCTGCCGAATTCTTTAATTAATTTTATATTTAAAATGAATTCCGAAATTATTAAAAAAGGGTGTAAAAAATTTATGATTTTAAATTAAGTGACCTAAATTACATTACTATATTGTATTGGTTATTAAGTAAAATTATTATAAACATCATATACTGTAACGTGTCAATCTCATTCATTGAAGGTGTTTCTTTGAAAAAAGAATTACTCAAACTTCATTTTGATGAGTAAATACATACTCTGCTTTAGCCTTATCCCTCAATATCCTTCTTAATTTTTTCCCCGATTCATTTTTTGGTATTTTACCAATAAATAATATATCATGCAACCTTTTATATGGCTTTACTTTATTAGAAACGTAGTCCATTATCTCATTAGATATTTCCTGTGATTGTTCGTATTCGGGTTTAAGTGTAATATAGGCCAAGGGGTGTTCGATAGCATCTGCTTCACAGTTAACACCAACCACAGCAGCATCTGATACTACAGGATGAGAAATTATGATTTCCTCTAGTTCTGCAGGGGCGACTTGGAAGCACTGTTTTAACAGCGGCATAGAATTTAGGATATTTTAGTTGATGTTTATTTCCCCCAAAATACGTACCTTATATTTGATTAACTCTTTAAGACGATCTGTAATAAATAAATTTCCTATGAAGGTGGAGTTATATATTAGATTTGAAATATAATTAAAATATTTTGAAAAATTACTACTTACCTTGTCTATCCATAATAGCGGCATCTCCTGTATATAAAAATCCATCCTTATCAAATGCAGCATTTGTTGCACCTTCGTTATTTAAATATCCCTAATACGTATGAATTATGATAAAGTCACCGAATCTAATCATAATAATGTAGTTCAACAAATTATGACAGTGACTTTGAAATAAAACCTTCATTATGTTAGGTCCTCGAACACAAAGTTCACCGAGTTCATCGTAACCCAATTCTAATCAAGAAAATTTATTACAAAAAAATTTACTCATTTTAATATAAGTAAAGCGAAATGGTATACCTCGTCCATCGTCTGCTATAATCTTAGCTTCGACGTTTGGTATTAACATTCCAACGGAACCTTTAATAAATTATTTTACATTAATTTTAATATTAATAATTTTTTTTCCACGTTCATCCGAACGGGTAAACAACACCTTTGGCGGATTTCTCGTCATTAGCCCAACTGATACACGGTGATGTTTCGGTAAGTCCTGAATAAGGGTCAAGTAAATAATAACTTAATGGCATTATCGGGCAATAATTGTCTGAAAACATATTACAGTATTCAGTTACCATATGCTTGTTTAACGGGAATACCATGAATATTATGCACGTCGTCAATCAAAGATTTACCAAGAGGAGCAGCTGCACTAATAATCATTCGCAAGCTCGATAGTTTATAACTCATAACAATCGGATTTTTAACCAATAGTTGAATTATTGCAGGCACGAGAAAAGCGTAGTCAACGACGTAATCTTGAACTATGCGACAGAATGTTGAAAGGCCAAATTTCGAAGTTAATACCGTCGTGGCACCCTTTTCATAAAAAAAAGTCTTAGCTATCTAATTTTGAATTGATATAATTCTGGTGATGACGAACAAATCTTACCAAGAGTATTGAAATATGAAGGATAATAGTTAATCCATAAGCATGATGGAATGGCTGTGCATAAAAATAAAATAAATATAAATGAGATTTAAAACATTATCATTGTTTGATGAATAAGGTGATATTAAAAAGATGTCATACCACCACACCCATAAAAACATTGTTTTTATTAAAGCCTGGTTCAGATGAAACCACCTGCTTCACATTTGCGACCATGTTAGTGTGTGTAATCTCAACAGCTTTATTTTTTCCAGTCGTGCCCGAACTATAGCATAAAAATACGGTAGTATTCTTAGCCTCCTCTGGCGTATACTCTATAGGTTTAAATTCACAATCAACAAGCAAAGTGCTGTATGGTTTAACCCCGTCAATTTCTTCATCAATAATTAAAAATATTTTAGAATAAATCTTGGCTTTTTTGGCAGCTTCGATTGTTGTAGAGAGACACGAGGGATGGGAAATTATAATAGAGGCTCCAGAGGCGGATAATTGGTATGTTAATTCGGTGATACTATATTTCGGATTCACAGGAACAACCTTGCCACCTGTGAAATAAATGTTGGCGTTAGGATTGAACAATAATTTAAATATCAGTGTAATACTTTCTCACCAGCAGCGATTGCACCAAATACTATCACGGAGTAATCAATCTTTTTGCAATAATAATTTCGTTAATGCAGTGCTGTATACAGTACAGTATTTTTAGACAATTAATTCTCATCATTTAATTCCTTACCTGATTAGGCGAAACGATCGCCAAGACATTCCCTCGTTTAAACCCAGCTTTACCCTGTAATCCCGCAGCAAATCTCTTTGTTTTACTTTTGAATTCACCGAAAGTTATCTTTTCATCTGTTGTCCCATCGATAAATAAAATTTTATTTTCGAGAACATTATTAGGATTACTTGTTATATACTGGTAAAGACCAGTAGATGGAATTTCAATATTAGGACGGTTTGATCTGAAAATCATTATGCGAAAAAACCAAAACACGTAGAAAAAAATTATGCCACAAGATTCATCTCTATCTTATTGACAATAAAAAGGAAAAGGGAAATTATTGATTTTTATCGTCTTATGTTTCATGTATCTAAAAAAGTACTTGAACCAATGTACCTTGTTTTACTAAATTCCATTATGACACTTTGTTTGTTGTAGGGCGTCACCCTGGAGCAAATAAAGATTCATGTGACCCCACACCACTCCATGTGATGTAAACCGTGTTGGAACGGAACGAAACGTAGCAGAAATATTCACAATGACATTTCACATATTTTTTATACATAAATTGTTTTTTTTACACTGTACTAAATCATTTGCTAATCCTGGATCAACAGTACATGTATTTTGATTTTTTTCTATATATTTTTTGTTCTCGTTGCAGCATCATCCATAAGTTTTTACTTTTATGCTTAATCTCATTAACTCAATCCATTTTCGGTTTTTTTTTAGATGTTCTGGAACCAGCCAATTTGACAGCTCCTGCACATTGCAGTTAACCGTGTTCTTCAGAACCAGGAAGGCTTGTGTCAATTTCAATCAGTATTTCCCATTTAATAAGAAAAGAAGAAAAATTCCACCAGCAAAATCCATTTCTGCACATCATCTTTTGCTATCAACCACGCATCTTTGGATATAAAGAAAAGGGATGTATAATTGCTATTGAATCTGTATGCACATGGGGGGTACAATTCACAGAAGCATAGGACTGGCATACACCTAAAGGCTGGCCCACCCAAACTTCACGCCTTATTACGGTACATAAATTCATAAGGGTCTTTTTTAGTGCCATATAATTCTCATCACGACCCGGAAAATCATAATCTCAACACAGTTTACAAAACAGATCATGCATGAATATGCGCCTGCTGCAATTCCCTGTACATCACTAACCATGTTTTTCCGTGCTCACTACTGTACCAGGAACGTGACGGCATGTCGCAGCAATGTCCGTGCACATGTTTATGCTGCATATGTTGCCAAACTTCCTGGGGAACGTGCTGCGAACTTAGTGGTTTAATGTGTCGCACTTACTTCTGTACCTGCTCAACTTCAAGCTTCAATACAGCATGCAAGGTTCTTTTCTTCACTTCCGTGAACCGGTCCGTGTTCTTAGAAACAGAAGTGCATCATCCAGGTGTGATTACATACGGTAAAAACCCACCTATGAAATCGTATTGCGGTCAATAAACAAAAAATAGCCAGGAAAAAAATCGCAAAACTTGTAAATATTGACAAAATAAGAGCTTATAGCCAATTATTAATCATTCCAATTTATTGTAAAAAATATATACAGTATAACAGCACTTTTCCCAACACGTGTATATAACTTTTACTATTACAATCAAAACTAGTATGTATTATATATGACATAAGGTTAATATTGATATTTGTAGTTGTGACAAGATGTCTGCTTCAATCATTCTTTTCTTTTTTCACAAAGTACTAGAAATTCGTGACCATATTTTTGTCATTATGCAAGTGGGTTTATTTTCGAGGCAAGAGGAAAGGCCACTGTATCTTTTCAATTCATTATCTGTTGTCATATCAAATTAGATTCTATTATAAAATGATTCAAAAACTTACATGCAGTTAATAGTGACAATTGTTTAAAATACTCGTGTGAACATTTTATGGTTTGTTCATGATTCATGAATTTTTATTTGAAACGGGAATCAATTAGAATAGAATAAATAGTCGGTTCACCAATAATATTTCAGTATTATTCTAATTTATATTGTATAGACTGTGCAACATACCATTTTTTTATTTTATGATTAGACAAAATAATACTGCCGACTTATAAAATTCAAGCCCATTATTAATTATTACTGGGTATGTTTAATGCTTAAAATACAGATACACCACAAATTTATCATTAATTTTATATACGTTTATTTCTTTAATAGGTGCTGAATCTTCATGATCTTATATATTTTTTTATTTTTATAAATTTTGTAATATCAAAAAAATAAGATTCTTTTATTACTCGAATACTTTGCTCAAGTTAATAACAATTTCAAATTCTAATAGAATGATTAAAATAGGCTTTGATATATTTTGATTTTTAATATTAGCACAATTAAATTCTAAGAGAATATTGTTGTTGTCAATAATTAAAAAAAGTTTATTTATTAATTATTTTGATAAATATTTTATATAATATTGTGCCTGCCAATTTGTAAAACTAAAATCTATATTTCTACAAAAGAATAAACAATAAATATTGATCAAATAAAAAAAATTAACATCTTTCGTAATAATTTGTAAAGGAATTGTTTGGTCCATAACATTATTTAAAATTTTCATACTTCGCCGTTCTCATTATCTCAGGACCAATGATTACTTTCACAACATGCCTTTGTATTTCTTACCACATTTAAATAGATATTCGACTATGTATTGCCTATTAATGTCGCCATAATAGAAAGTAAACTATTCGTCCTTGACAATCCCATTACTATTCATATTACAAAATCTAAATTGTACTAAGCAACCCCATTGCTAGCTTCGGCAGCCTTTAAATTTCTATCATGCAGCTCAAACACATGTCAAATTCTTTTGCCGTATCTTTTGGGATCATGTAACAATGATCAAGTTTTCCCTACGATGCTTCCTGTTTTGGCAGGTTCAAAATATAACTCCAGGTCTTTTGCTGCGTTTCAATTGAGGCCGTATCCACGCTCGAAGCATTCTCAAAGGTAAGCTTTTGCCAGCAAGAATCCTTCATTAGATAATTCTGAAAATATTTTTCCCAAATAAATACATGAATTTAGTCGAAAACTTACCGATGAGTCGATTATTTATTTTACATGACTCAGGTGGTGTTTTCTGGATTTTCAAATTTCTTATCACCTGAGAATACATTTCGAATACATTTCGAGAGCTATCTGGAAATTCACTAGGATTTTAATTCCAAATTTACAAAACAACCCGGTCAAGCTTGTCAGATAATCTAT